ACCCCAAACCCCCAGCAGCCACAAAGTTCAGGAAGCTAAACTCTGCAGAGAACATCTTAATACAGCAGAATGAACATACAAGTGTGACAATGACACAGGTCTGCAGCTGAACAGCTGCCCTGTCTAGGGAAGGAAGGCTATGTGACTGAGAGCCTTGCCCTGCAGATGTGCCCTGGGGCTGTGGCTTTGCTGTATCCGGCCTTGGCAGCTGCCAACAGGCAGGATCAGTATGGAAAAACAAAGCTTGACTCAAAACATATATTGTTATAAAACACCTCGTCTGCTCATTCCCAGCTTACAGCTTTCACCTCTGGCTGCTGTGCACATCCATCCCAGCCAGACCCCCCAGCTGCTCACCCCTGCAGCAGAACACAGCAGCACTGCTGCACAGACCTCTCGCACTTCTCTCCTTAAGTCCCTCCTCCTACCTCTCCTTTATGCCTACTCTGCTTTCAGAAACTAAAATACTGGTTATTTTCAGCCCCTCCTGGCTCCTGTGAAAGGTTAAAAGACCTTGGCTCACTGCACAAGAACTCTGACCCTACTCAAGAGGTAATTTTATTATTTTTAGTAACTCTGAAGGTGCAGGATACTGCTCGGTGTGAACATCCAGCTGAGCAAACCCTTCAGGGAGATGCTGCGTGTGTGTCAGTTCCCCAGGTGTAAGTGTTGGGAGGGGGACACAGACCAGAAGCTATCTGCGTTTAGAAGTATGTCTGGCTTCTTCCTGAGGCTCACGTGTTAAAACGCTCCTTGGTGAGTTGCACAGCTGCACTCCGAAGAGGAGGCAAAGGCTTCAGGGCAGGTGAAGTAAACACAGTGCTCTATAGAGCACCACCAAGGGTGCAGCTCTGACGCAGGCTACGGCAAAAGAAACCAGAGCTTTGCTCTCTTTGCACCCGCACTCGTGTTCGCACAAACTGAACTCGGAAAAGGACTGAGCTGGCGGTGAAAAAAATACAAACCTGAAGATCCAACCATGAACCCGCAGACCCGCCCGGGAACGCGGCCCGCCTGCCCCGCGCCCACGAGGCTGTGCCGGGACACGGCCGCGGGGGCACAGCCCGGGAGGGACGGCGGGCAACACAACACGCCCAGCCCCCAAAGGCGCCGAAAGGGGCAGGGCCGGGGGGGACACACATCCCTCATAAACACACCCCGGGGAGGCACGGGAGCGCCGCGGGAGCGCTCGGACGGGCCGCCGAGGAGCCCCCTTCCTGCCGCCATCCCGCACACCCGGCCTGCAGCCCCTTCCCTCGCTCACAGGGCGGCCGCCTGGGGACCGGGCCCGTGGCGGGGCTGCCCGGAGGTCGGGCCGGGCCGGGGGTAGCCCGTCACCCACCTTGAAGATGGCGTACCCCGCCGCCGTCTCGAACAGCACGAGCATCGCGGCGCCCGCGCGGGACACGCCGCACCGGCACGCGCGCGCCGCGAGGGGGGACCGGAAGCGGAAAGGGCGGCGGAAGGGGAAGTGAGCGCGCGCGGGCAGGGGAAGCGGCGGGGCCGCCTTCCGCTCGCGGGGCACGTGGCGGGCGGCGGAACCGCGCACGCGCCGCCGCCAGGGCCACGCCCACCCGGGGCCCCGCCCGCCCGGGGCGCCGCGGCGCGCGCGGGAGCCCCCTGACGGTCAGACACGCGAACTGCACCCGCGGGGCTGTGCCCGCTGCCCTGCCCAGCGCCCCGCGCGCTGCCCTGCCGGCAAACGGGGCACCGGGACTCGGAGCCAGTACCGGGGGCTTCTCTTTCCCGAGTGGGTCCCGGAGCGGGTGTGAGCCGGTGCCCCCGCAGTGCCCCGAGCTGTGCTGGCCGTGGTGCCGGGGTTCAGCCGCCTCAGTCCAGGCCCCCCACACGGAGGAAATAAGGGGAGCGCCTGCCAATGCCCGCTCCGCTCCCGCGGCCTGCTCTGCAGATCCTCACGCGGATCCAGTTCATAAACAATTTGTTGTGACTAAGCGCGACTGGGTGTGTTTAAAAGCTTTGCCTCTCCGACAGAGAAGTACCGCGTTGTATGCGTATAAACCACGCACTTTAAACGCTGCTTGCTCCCCCCCGCTGCTGCGGTGTCCCCGGGATGGGGGCAGAGGCTGGGCCGGCCCGTGTGAGCTCGGCGGTCCCTGACTGACCCACTTGTGCCGGGCCCCGCCGAGGGACAGCAGCTGCGAGCCGGCGGGAGGGCAGCGCCGCTCCTTGCCCTTAGGAATTCCCACTTACTGCACATGGAGGGTTATCTGTCCTGAAAACAAAGGCAGAGATTTTCCTGCCCGCGGGAAAAGAGGCTCCGAGCAACGCTTGTGCTTGATTTATATCAGACATTCCTTGCTGGATTTTATGCAACCATCCGTATGAGTCAGCACGCCTTTGTTTCCTCCATGTGTAAGGAGTGTGCTGGAAAGCCAGTAGTCAGAAATCTGGGGACTCACAGAATTCCGAGTTGTTTTTTTTCTTTTTAAGGAAAAACTTTGGTGCTTTACATAATGTAACCATTTTTTTAAAAATTCCCAAATCAGTCATAGTGCCAAAGAAAATAGGTTCAACTAGACAGAGAATTTCCAGGTTCCACCGAGTTTTAAAGTACTGAGTTTCTGGTGCTATTGGCTCAGGGCAGTATTACTATTATGTAAGAGTAAATGTTACGTACCTGTCTGCTTTAGAACATTGCATTGATCCTGTTTGCTAGCACAGGCAAACAAGCTGGCATTATGAGATTACAGATCATTCTTAGGTTAAAGTCTGATTTTAAAAGAATCTGTTTTTGATGGACTGAAGAAGCTTTGCACAGACCATATGAGTGGGCCAATAATTTTTAGAAAACCACTCATAGCTCCTGGCCCCTAAACGATATACACAGCTTTGAAGAAATTAGCAGCAATTGAAGGAACAGAGGGGAACTTTATTGACTCCAGGTGACTGACATTATGTGCACATGAGGAAATAAGAGACATAACGAAACACCTGAGAAAGGAGTGAGGTTCTTAGGGCAAGTGGTCTTGATAAGTGCATGCAAATGCAAGGCTAACTTTGGGGTTTTGTGGAAAGAAGCTTGTGTGAGTATATTTTGTAGCCTGAAGAGGTAATGCATCCACAACTGAGTAAAAGGGAGTCAAGAGAAGTGGTATTAGTTGGTATGTGTGCAGATAAGCATATTTTAAGATTTTGCCTTTATAGTTGTCTATAGGGATAGATAACTGCACTCTGACTCATGTCAGTGTTAGCTTTTATTGTGGGATTACATGGAAAACTTGGTTTTGTGCCAGTGTCTGAGACTTTGGCCTTATCACTGTAAGGCTACTTTCCCTGTTTAAAGCTGCTTTAATTTATGGAAAGCAGTAATGTTCAGGACAGAGAAAGTATTTGTCATTTTCTATTCTGTTAGTATTGTGTGTTCCTGTGAAGCCCATGAATGGCTTATTTTGGTGCTTTGTTTAGAGTTATCAAGCTCATAATGAGCTCTTACTGTGAGCTTGGCACAGTGTGAACATATTTGGCTTCCCTGCCTGCTAGGTCTTGCCTAAGAAAGATCATCTTCATTCTGTAGCTCTGTATAGCATCTGTTTTGATTCTCTTTATTTATTTTTTGCCTCCCCTGTTAATTCTGAATTGTTTTAACAGTTGTGATTAAAACTAATGCCCATGAGTCTAGATACCAAGTGTTTCACTGGCTAGTAAAAGTGCATCCCTCGGCGTAGCTGTGTTTGGAACTCTGCATTCAGTAGTGAAATGCAGCAATGCAGGCACAGAGTGCAGCGTGTTTGGTGTTTTTACAAAGGAACATGGCACGCAGAGCATTGAAATGCTTGTGTTGATGAATGTGCTCTGCCCAGAGTAATTTCTTAGCCAAGGTAGCCAATAAAGTTAATCTCGTGTTTCAGCAGAGCTAACTTCTCTTGATCCATTTATTTTACATTCATTTTATTTTATGGTTCTCACGGGTGGCTTTTTTTCTCCTGGCTGGCCATTAGATCTAAGCACGTGCCTATTCCAGCAGAGATGCCGTGCAGGAGTTGCATTAGTTGTTGTAAAGGGGACATTACTACTACACACTATAATCTAAGCAGTTTGCAGTCTAAATGTAATCTGTTTAGGTGCAGGTGTTGCTTCTTGTGCAGACCTCTAAACAGCCGTGCTGTGCCCATGTAAAGCAGGACACCTGTTCTGTGCCAGTGGGGTTTATCACTGCAAGTTTGTGCAAATGCAACTGCCTGGGTACAGATTTGCCTAATACGTGCAGATCCTGTTGTTTGCATGGTTGTGATGACTAAAAAAAAAAAAAAAAAGGCAAACTGTGCCTAAATAGAGAAATGAGTTTTGCTGTGAAATATTATCTGTTAGTAAAAGCCTTAGTAGGGTAAGCTTACCTTAGAGGTAGGCATAATGGTAGGGGCTTTTTCTCCAAGATCTGCTGTCGTGGGAAGGGTTATGTGACTTCACAGAATCACAGCATCACAAATTGTTAAGAGATCGAAGGGACCTTTGGAAATTACTTAGTCCAACCCCCTTGCCAAGGCAGGGTCACCTGGAGCAGGTGGCACAAGAATGCATCCAGGTGTGTTTGGAATGTCTCTCTACAGGGAGACTCCACAAACTCTGTAGGGAGCCTGTTCGAGTTCTCGGCCACTCTCAGTGTGAAGAACTTCTCGCCCATGTTGAGGAAAAACTTCTTGTGTGTTATTTTGTGTTTAAGTTTATGTCCATTGCTCCTCGTGTCACTGGGCACCATCCTCTTGGCATCCGCCTCTGAGATATTTATATGCATTAATGAATCGCCTCTCCGTCTTGTTTAGACTAACCAGGCCCGGTTCCCGCAGTCTCTCCTCTCAAGAGAGATGCTGCAGACGCCTCATCACCTTTGCGGCCTGCGCTGGCCCAGCAGGCCGGGCCGCCCCGGCGCGCGGCCTTCCTAGCAACGCCGGCTGCTTCTCCCTGGGGGAGCCTCGGGGGACGAGGGCGGCGGCGGCTCCGTAAGGACGGTGCGAGGGTCCAGGAGTGGTGCCTGGCGGAGCCCGAGCGGGAAGTGAGCTCAGGCGCACAGGAAATCCCGCCCCGCCGCGGCCCTGTGTTTGCGCTGCGGGCAGAGAAAGGAGCGGAGCGCCTGCAGCGGCCCAGCCGAGCCTGCCGCACGACACGGGGCCGAGCCATGTCTGACCAGGTACGGGCGGCTGCCCCGGCCGCAGGGGGATCGCACGGCGGGCGGCCGCGGCCCCGCAGCCCCGGGGGGCGGGAGGAGCTGCCCGGGCCCCCCTGCCCCCTCCGCGGCCGCGGGGCAGCCCCTGCCCGGGGCGAACGGGGCCGCGGCCGCCCGGGGGGCGCCGGAGGGGGAACGTTCCCCTCGGGAAGTGTGTGTGTGCCTGGATGCCGATCTCCGACCTCGGCCAAACTCAGCCCCCCCTTCCCGTTCATACTAATCCCCCTTTCCCCTTCCCTCGGGCTGTTTCGCGAGCAGCACGGGGCGGGCTCCGGGCGGGGACGCTCGGGGGCCGGGGCGGTGTCCGGCTGGAGCGGGATCGCCGCCGGGGCAGCCCCGGCCCTGGGAACCCGGGAGCGCACCGAGGGGTGAGCCGCGTTGCACAACAGTTGTTTCCTTTCGTTTCCCATTTCCCGGGTGTGTGGTAGGATGCTCTCCTCCCGGAGCGGGCTTTGTGCGGGTTAGGCTGAGCTTGCCGGGTCCTCTCTTCGCCCTAGGAATGCGAAGGTGGGGGGCGAAGAAAGCCAAGCATTCTTAGCTGAGCGCTGCTTGCCGTATCAAGTACCCCGTCCTTCACCAAGGCTCTATCCTGCCTTCTCTTCGTATACATCGTATGTCCCTGTCAATTCTGTCTTCCCAATCGTGGACTTAATTAGTTACCTGTACCGCAAGTTCCTGGCTTGCTCGGCCTGGCATGTATACAGTCCTTTGCTTACAACTCTTGCTTTAGGCTATGTGACCTACTAGTGGAAAGTTAAAACAGCGTTCCGGTTTTAATTTGTATTCTGTTTTGCTTTATTTTTTGTGTTGCTTTCATAGGGCAGCGTTTTCTAACTTTGTCATAACGCTAAGGCTTTGGAAAAATCCATGTCAGTACTTCAAATGCTTCTTGTAGTGGTGTGAAGTCAAAAATAGTATTAGTACCAGCCAGGAAATTAAAAGTACCGAGAGACAAGGCTAAGCTTAGTGTAGACCGTGTCTGCTTTGAGGAACAGCCTCGGTACGTTTGACTGGCGAATACAAACCGGAGCTGGATGCGCTGGTGGTCTTGCTCGCCGCCCCCGGCTTGGAAGCACAATGCAGCTGGGGATGGTGCTGCTGCCTCTGTGCCTGGGAGAGGGCAGCTGGGAACACAGCGATGGCTGGCACCCAGTAGGACATGTTTCTACTGTGGTAGAATGCATGAAAGTGACTGCGTGTAAAAAAAAAAAAGAAAACAAACCAAAAACCAACCAAACTAAAAAAAACACCCAGGCAAATTCTGAACTACGTTTTGTAGACAGATGTTCACGTGACCTGCTCTGTAGCTGTGTGCACATACGAACCGAGGCATGTTTTAACGCATAGCAGCTTTCGTTAGGTAATTCCTTCTCCAGGCAAGTTCTGCTGAAACACATACGTGTTTTGTCTTTGGGACTGCTTGAAGTATGTAAAATTCCATGTATGTCATAACTTTTGTGGATCCATGTTTTAAAGGTCTGTGAATAAGGGCCCTGCTGTTTCATACATGGTTGGATGTTGTGTCATTCACCTGTGGGGGGGCTGTGCAACAAGAGCTAAGCAGATGCTTAAGTAATAATATAATGTACAGTTATGAGCATTGTATATCTCATTCCTCTGTTTATCAGTCCTACAGGAATAATTGGATTACCCAAAATCGTGGCTTCCTTACAGTGTCTTTTTTTTTTTTTTTTTTTTTTGGCCCTGGAACTAAGTTAAGAGGGCATCATTTGTCACCACTTATGATAATTTTGGCCTGTCTTTATACTAAAATAAGTATACTTGACTTAGTTACTTTATTTCCAATGGGAAATTGACTTTTATGATAAGTAAAAATGCTTTTGGAAAGGGCAGACTTGAAAAAAAAATAATCTAAGCAAAACAACAAAAAAATGTTTTTTCCCCTTCCTTCAAGGGTCTTAGTCTGGTTTTGCTTTCATCGAATCTAAGTGCTGTAATTTTTATCTGTTCATGTACTATTAATAAAGAATACTGTAGTTTGATTGTGTTTTTCCACTGCTATAAAAAAGAGTAAGAGTTTATTTGCTCAGTTAGGAAGTATGGTGTTGTCTATTCCTCCAGTCATTTTGGGTTTGTTAATTTTTCTTTAAAATGCTGAGCATAGTTGTGTTTGGGTTTTTTTTTTTTAGGCTTGGACATTGAAGTTTGAGCACTTTTGAAAATTGGAGGAGGAAACTTGAAATATATTGCCTTACAGTGTTTGTTTTGTGGTTTTGTTAGTTGCAATAGCAATACCAGGGTTTCATCCAAGAAACTTTGTGTGCTTTTTAGGGTCATGAATTTAGTGTTGGTATATAAATGTGAGACAGTAGTAGAATCCTTATTTTGTGCTGTTAAAGAAAACTGTGGAATGAACCCTTTGAACTTGGAGCGTTGTGGTATTTCTGGTCTGTTTGTATGGGGGTCTTTTTTCATGTACTGTTTCATGAGGCGTCCAAAGCACCAGTTCCTTTCTCGGGACAAGTAGAAGGCTGGAGGCTTGCTTGCAAATTGCTGATTCAGGATTTTAATGAATTCTTGGAGTTTAGCAACTTTGCAGTCTCCTTGCTTTCTTTGTTTCATGTTTTTGTGTTGCCTTTACTGTTGAATGGCAGCGTAGTTCACTGACAGACTGCAGAGAGCTGTTTAAGACTTGCTGGGTCTTGTGTTCTGATTTAAAATATTTTGCTCCTATTTTAAGCTTTAGTTATTGGCACTGTCAGCATTGATTTGATATTATTTCTCTTCTCCTGAAGTTCTTCAGTTTCCTGAAGAAAGCTCTCTTTGCTCTTATTTGGTGGGTGAGAGGTTGCTGGGGCTTTAAATGAGCATCTTTATGGCTTGAAGACGCCAGTTCCCTCTGCTTATTCTACTGTTTGCCGCTTCCCCTGTTTGTTTTTAGTACTACAGCCCTCTTTCCTTGAGGGTAGGAATCAAACATGAATCATAGTTTCCCACTCCTATTGGCCAGAGGCACTGTCATAGTAGCGATGATAATTAGTAATACCTTGTACAGGGTGATTTGGTTTGGAAATCTAAGTAGGTAGATCTGTTACAGTGCACAGAATTATATAACTGCTACAAATACCTCTACTGCTGGGGTAATGCAATTTGTAAGGTAAACTTAGTGACTGACCTGAGACATCATGTAAAGGAACAGTGTGTTCTTACAAATTCTTTCAGTGATAGTGAAACAGGAGCCAGTTTCGAAGTTACAGATTTCAGATCTATAGAGATTAGAATCTCATTTTGATTCCTAGAGGTTAGTAATCCTCTAATTAAACATGCTGTTTGTGTAAATTATCAGAAAAAGTTGCAGGTTCTTGGTTTTGCTTCTTTCTGGTCAGGAATGGAAACCATTTTATTTCTATTCCTGCAAATAGTCCCATGAGCTTAGAGTCCATGTATGTTAGAAAGGCAAAACTTTGGTGGGGAACACCGGTTGATGTGACTGTGTTATCCATGGAGACTCCTTTCATGTTTCAGAAGTGACTTGCTTGAAGACCTGAGGGTGTCTAGTTTCTTGACAGCTCGGGTTCAGATTCTGGGTTTGAGACTGAAGGGTGATGAATCAGTCCTAGCAGTTCAGGTTGTGCCCAGGTAGGTATTTAAAAGAAGAAAAGGTATTTAAACCAGGTGGAGTCTCTGGCTCATACTTTTTGTCATTGCAGAAATCGAATTGATCTGGGTTGAGGCAGTGAGTCAAAGCGATACAAAGAGCACTTCCTCTTGTTCTTTGCTCCAGACCGAGAGTACAGATGGGAAAGGTGTTTGCAGACTTGCCCTGTGCTCTTCCCCGAACTCTTAACATTCAAAGAAGTTGTGCATGTTTAACCTCTTTAAGGAGGAAAAAACCCCCAAACCTTAAAAAGGCTTGTCTGCCATTTTAATCTGGAGATAGAGACCTGTCTGGATGGACTTAATAGAGAAGGTTAGTATCAGGTTTTGATGCTTGATCATAAAGTTGAAGTCTAACCGTACAAGGGGTATTTCTGTATACTTGGCCAAAAGTCCCTTTAGGGCTGGGAAAAAGCCTGTAGTAGGCACATGTACATATTTTGGTTATTTTATCTACTATGTTAAGCGATAAAATATGGAAAGAAGATCTGAAACACAATCAGCAGGGTATCCATACTTCTGACTGCTTGGGAACAATTTTTCACTGAGCACCATCTAGACCTGAGGCACTGTCTGTGTAAAATCCTTTTTTGCTGCAGTGAAACATAACGAAAGGGCTGACCCAGAATATGTAGTGACAGGCAAGGAATGGGGTTTATAGTACCTGATCTCTTACTTGTTTTGTGTATCGACTGCGAACATGAAAACTTTGATGTTCTTAACTCACGTCTTAGAGTGCATAACACTTCCCTTTTGATGAGATTTAGTGCTCAAGTAGTTGAATCAAACTTGTCTGTACAGTTGATTCTTATCCTGGAAAGATAACAAAACACTATAGTTCTTGGAACTGCAACTTCTACAACTTTTCAGAATCGTGGTCTTAAAACAAACGTGCTAGAAGGAAGCTGTTGCTTGATGTTGTTTTGTTGTCATAGAAAAGAAGGTGGCTGACCATCCTTTTGAAAGTAGTGCAGTAGATTTTGATGCAGTAGGTTGAAAAATGCATGCATGGGTCGCTCCAAGTGGATAGGGTGTCACAAGTGCTTTCTGTTTACTCTCCTCAGTGTTCTTTTTTCTGTCAAATATCTGAGCATCTTACTACACTTCCTGTGTTTCTGTTTTGCAGTTTGTTTGTTGTCCAAGAGTTTGTGGTATAAAATAATACCTTTCTGTGTGTCATCTATTTCCAAATGATTCTTCTCTTTTCTCTTGCCATTTTTACAGTGTTTCTCATCTGTCATTAATTAAACTTTTCACAGGCAGACAGACAGCCCTTCATAATGTTGAAAGATTGCTGGGTTTTTTGTGCACATACAGCGAAAAAGACACCTTGAGTAGTCTGATTTCATGCAACAAAGAGGATGACAGCGACCATACTGTCCAGTGAAAATAAAGAAGTGTTGAACTGATCATAGTTTTTTATGTTGCAGGAAGCAAAACCTTCAGCTGAGGACTTAGGAGATAAGAAAGAAGGGGAGTACATCAAACTCAAAGTTATTGGGCAGGTGAGTTTCTACATAATTGCTTGTTGACACTTGGTAGAGGTGTCAGTTTTTGTGTGGTACAAGTGACCAAATGAAAGCTGATGCTCCAGGTTCTTCAGCGAGGATCCTCCCCTGCCATAAACTACTTCAGTTGCCAGAAATGTGTGTTAGGGTACTCTGGTGGGGAGTTTTGTGATGCATTGAGAGATATGAGTTATTTGATTGTATGATTATATGATGCATTGAGGATGTGGCAAAATTGATAAATTCAGGTCTCCGGAGTTGGTGGAGTGCATTAGGCATGAAGTCAGTTTTCTTGGAGAGGGATAGGAAAAGGATTCTGTTGGCTGGTGTGTTCATAGACGTGAATGGTGGATTATAAGTCTGCATTCAAGCCGCGTTGGAATGTGAATGTCGAGATGTTTCTTGAACAGAAGTCCTTCTGTGCAAAGAACCCCCTCGCTCAGATGACTTAACTGGGATTGTTTGTTGGAGCAGTATTGTTTGTTGCTGTTGGGTGGAGACAGATGACTTAAAGTAGGACTAACAGAAACTACTTTACCTCTTGCTGGATTAATCAGCAATGATAAGAACACATTCAAAAACCGAAAGTTACCCGCATGAACCTTTTGCAGTCTGTTTTAACTCTGTAGCCATTTTGACAGTTGTAGAGACTCGCATCTTACGGCTGGTAGGAAGGACTACAGAATAACGAGTCTTAAGATTTCTCCTCAGGTTAGTGTTGTGTTGCCAAGTTTGCCTGTATCCTGACTTCTAGATAATTACTCTAATTGAACAAGGTTTCGTATATATTTTGAAGTGCAAGCTTTAACTTGCCTCTTTAGGAATCTCAGAGCAGAAGTCCCCTGCATATGTGTGTTTGTATTTCACGAGTACATCAGCTGGGTAAAGATGGAAGCACAGACTGAACCATGTATGGGTTTTAGTACTTTTAAATCCACAACCTCTATATTGAGCCTAAGGCTATACTATGCCATCTGTTCTTTAAAAAAGAGCTTCCTATGGAAGTACGTGATGAATTTAGTGTCTGATACATCATTCTGGAGGTTCCGATTATGATGCACCAAGGTATGCATGGTGATAGTTAAACTGCATTCCATGTTAGTTTTACATATAATTTTTCTTAATGAAAGACTTAAAATAACATAAAGTTAGCATTTACTACAAGGAGAGTTAATTTTTTTCTTTTCTGCTCTTAGGACAGCAGTGAAATTCACTTCAAGGTGAAAATGACAACACACCTCAAGAAACTCAAAGAATCATACTGTCAAAGACAGGTTTGTGAAATAATGACACTGCCTTTAAAAAAAGCAAAAACCCAAACTACTTTTCTCTCTGTTCTTTCAAATAAAGACTTTTGAGGTATCTGACAGTACAAATGTAATGGATCTCCTAAATTTCTTTTGACAAGTAAAGGTATTCCTGTGTAAGACCCTTGTGAAGTTTGTAGTAAGTTAAAATTACTGCTTGAAAGTATGTAGTGGCTGCTCAGACATTTGTTTTAAAATGTCCAGGCATGCATTTATAGTTGCTGTAAAATCTTTTGTTTCTAAATAAAATTCCCTTAAAGCTGTAGAATGCTGCAGCTTAGGATGAGAGCAGCCTTAGGCATTGTTACAGCCATTAATATGGTAATCAAGTAACACCAGTTACTGTCCCCTAAGTTAAAGGTAAATCTGCAATACTAATTGTGGATGTAGGTAAATAGTAATAACTGTGACAGAGCAAAAATATATCTTCACTTGCAGATTCTGTGGCAGATATTGTGGATTCACAGCTGCTATTTCCAGAAGCCCTGGCCTAGTTTGCCCTCAGCTTTGGGGATAGATGCCTTATGTGGCCTTTTCTTAGATAAGTGTGTTGGAGTTCACTTCAGGAGATATAAAAGTAATAATACTTTGGGATTTTTTTTTTCTTAATACTTAAAGATGAGTTGAACTTGTCATTGAAGTGTTCTTTTGCAGAATGTGTTCTTTTTTGCTATCTTTCTGGAGTAGGAGGAAAGAAAAGATCAAATACCAGCTACGTTTATAGCCAAATTCGAGTGATTAAAATTGTGATTCATTTGGAAAACTTGAAATCTTAAAATAAGGTCTTGGAAATAATTCATGCAGCAGTCTTGTTGACTAATGCAAATGCACGTGTGGAATTTGTTTTTAAGAAAAAAATAGTTGTTTGAATGAACACAGCTGTATCTCCTGGGCTGAATTCTGGGGAGTCTGTGATTTCCTTCATACACAGTCAGTGCAGTTTTTGGTATTGAGTACCCTCTCTCTAGTCAAGGGACCATGAACATTTCTTCCACGGTGGACAGAGGGATTGTTTAAACAATGTGAAGATCTGTCCTTTCCTGTGAAATTTGCCTGCCTAGTTATTTGCAAGCAGTGTTTGAGATTTAATTGATGCACAAACTGTGTCATATTTCACTTGCATTTGTTTTTCTTGTAACTTGAAAGACAAGGAAAAGATGAGGTGTTTGCCTTACCTATTGAGGTGAAGTATGATGTTCTGCTGGAACGTGGGCACACTGTACAGCAGACATACTGCAACTTTAAGTACTTTTGGGATGCTCCTTTCTCATTGTTTGAGAGCTGTCCCTTTTTTCTCCCCCTCAGCTCCTCTTTTTCTTGTCCCCAGTGCAGAGCTTTTGCAAAACTGATCATGGTAAATGTTGCTGTTCCTTCCTGTAGCCATAGAAGATTGGGAAAACAAGGGTAGTAGTTCATGAAGTAAACATCATGTTCCTCATATTGTTTTAGGGTCTTTATTAAGACTGATACACAGTTCAGAAAAAGACAAGACTTTAACGTGTAATGTCTTGGGAGGGAAGGTATAGTCAATACTTTATAAATAAAGGTAAGGGAAAAAAGCTAAGGAAACTTCCAAGTCATTGAGCTAGAACTCCAGTGAGACTCTGCAATAAACATGCATTTTAGCACTCTCATGCTTTTTGAGTCGCTTCTTTTTTTTTTTGCATGAGTGCAACAGAATAGCTGAGCTCCCTGTGTAACAGGAACTAACACTTTCTTTTTGGACTTCAGCATCGTTTTTTTAGTTTAAAACGCTTTTCTTCTAAACACATAACAAGTTTCAGTAAGTTGTTTTGTTTTTTCTCTTGTACATCTGTTTCTTTTTTTAGGGTGTTCCAATGAATTCACTCAGGTTCCTCTTCGAGGGTCAGAGAATTACTGATAATCATACCCCCAAGGAGGTGAGTTTCTTTTAGCAAGAGTGTGATAGAATTCACTGGACAAACCAAATACTGACTTGGTTAGCTTCTCTGTTCTGCTAGACCGTTAACCAGAATGAAGATCTTTCTTTACATACAGCCAACTCATTGGACTGTATTTAGTTAAATATAGTCTGACAATATTTTGCTAATTGGGATCTTTATTAAGGCCCACAGGCGGTTCAGAGAGAGGCTTCATGTTACTGCCTCAGAAGGGAGGGTGCAGTCACTGCCTGCTTGCGGAGGGGAAAAAAGCCTGAAGGAAACTTGACAGCTGTTGATCTTGAACTTCAGTGTGACTTTGGAATAAATATGTATTTAGTTCACATTTACTAGATCAAAGTGTAAATAAACAGAAAACAGCTACTTCTATCCAGTGACTTCCACCAATTGTTATGACAAAGCAGGAAGAAACACTCATAATAATGACCTTCTGAAAAATCAAACCAACTTGTTGACTGTGGAATTGAACAAGTTGCTGTCTCTGAGAGAAGAGCCGTAAGCAGGCTTTGAGTTCCAAGCTATAGGCGTTAGCTGCATTGTGAGCTGGTGCTGTGCTATACACAATGCCCGTGGCTGTACAGCTGGTGCATTCCCTAAGATGTTCCCCCTAAACGAGGGATTTAGAGAAAGGTAAAGCCCAGTGTCTTCCAGCCTGGTGTGTACTGCTCCACAGCTGGGCTTAGGCTTCACCATAAGGCTTTTGCTTTGACTCAGATATCTAAGTCCTTGTCTAAGGAAAAGGGCTAAAAATCATGAATGTTGTCTAGTGAGATGGTGACTTTTTGCCCCTTTGAATTATGATGGGACGGAGGAACAAAACATTGTATGACTTGTCTAGGACCTGCTCTGATTTCATCACACCAGATTTATAACAATTGTTTGCTGTTTTTCTCTGTTCTCACAGCTGGGGATGGAGGAGGAAGATGTGATTGAAGTTTATCAGGAACAGACGGGGGGTCACTCAACAGTTTAGATCCTTCTGTTTTTCTTCCCTCTTAATCCTTTTTTATTTTTAAATAATAGTTCTTTTGTAATGTGGTGTTCAACACTGAAACTGGCACCCCATCTCTGGGAGTTTATTTTCAAGCGTCTGGTATTTTGAATTCTCGTGCTCATTATACACTATTGTTTCTGTTTTCATTGTGCTGAACTTCTGTGATCCAGCTGCAACCTTGCTCCCCCTCTTCCCTTCTGCCCTCCCCTTTAGGAATACATGTACACACATGCGTTTGTATGTTCACTGGCTTCGTGCATTCCAGGCACGAAGGCTGTAAGATCTGCCAGGTGGGCGAGTGTTCTTAATGACTTCCATATCTGCCCTGAAGTTTTGATGTGTGACTGTTTCACTCCTGGACTATAACTTTCAGTGCGAGATGAAGTTTTTCAGAGAACTAAACTGTGGAGAAATTGTGTATCCATAACTCAGAGCTATTTTGCTTAAATTGTGCTGATGGCCCGACGAAGATTACCGAGTTGGAGACGGAAAAGCTAGAACTGTTGTCACCTGTTCCTTGCTCCAGAGATGGCTTTGCTGAAGACATAAAATTGAAAACCCTAATGATTTTTAAATCTTACCAGAAGAGCCCAGAAGCATTTTAACTTCATATAGGAATTAGTACACGCAGGTATTCATGCAAGAATGTTCACAGCAGCCAACTGGTGTTACTTTGACACTCTTGTTTGTACCTTTTGGCCTGGGACGTGGGTTTTGAATGGACATTGTCTGTACCAGCTTCATTTAAAATAAACAAGAAAAACAATTTTATAAACAACTTGCATTTTCTTTTCAAATGTTTGGAAATGAGCAAACCCATAAAAAGTTATAATTAGAGCATGCTTTTCCAGTGACTATAAGTTGAAGCCAGAAAAAAAAAATGTGCTCTGTAAATATACCTCATGAAAAACATTTATTTTCTACTTGCCCTAGTAAAATACTTGATCTGCTTGTTTTGCAGGTGGCTCTTAGAGACTACTAGCTGTTTCTTTTCTTGGTAGAGAATATTCACATGCAGTTACATACATCTGCACTTCATGCACAGAATTTAAACTGAAAATGAAACCTGGAAGGAAATAAAAGATGGTTTTCAATGTCTATATTTCATATGATATGGATGACAATGAAGTGTCATGATGGCTCACTGGGCATCGTTATGAGGGTCTACGTGTTCTGGTGACTTTGAGGTTGTAAGTGGTCAGTTTGAGAAGTTGTTACTGAATATGAAAGCTGAGATAGGAGGTTCTGGGCAGAGGAGTGTGGAGAGAAGATTTCTGTACTCTCCCCGCTTCAGCTTTTTTGCAGATAAATAGGGCTTTTTCGGTTTGGTAAATAAAGTTCACTGTGAATGCCAGCTTTAGTCAAAGACACATTTTAGTGCTGGCATACTTGGAAGAAATTGCAGATCTTGAGTACTTTTGTTATGGCATTTGCTGTAAAGCTAGAAACGGCATTTTCTTTCATGCTTGTGGGTTTGTGCCCTGTTTCTGATTTAGTAAGACTTTTGTATACATAGTTACATTAAGCAATTTTTTTAAAGATTAAAATTTTTGTTTATAAAATACCAGAATATGGGGTTTTCTTAAAGTATTTTATGTAATTCAATTCTTAAGGGAAGAGGACTTGCTACTGTGATGTAGAACATAGCTTCTTTGCACTCACCTCCAATGGCTTTTTTTGAATACTAAATATGTCTGCCTCAGAAAACCAGAAATAAACCAACCTTGTGATTATTACCAGATCATCTTCTAATGTAAACTTGTACACTGCTCTTGTTTGTAGACAAGTTCCTATTATCCCTCTTCTGCACACTAGGAACTGAGGTGCAGGGTATGGTAGTTTACTGGGGTCACTCTGGAAGCTGAAAGTGCAGCTGAGAACTGAATCCAGCTCCCCAGGCTTCGATGCTAGTACTCTCATTGCTGCCCTGACTATCTTTGCTTCTAGCTGTTCACTTTCCTCTTCCAAATCTGGTTTTATGTGCTCATTTATATCAGCTTTCTAGCTGAAGCACTGCATTTAGTTCTCTTGAGACTGTGGAGGAGGGTTTTCTGCAAAATGTGGTTTCAGAAGGATGAAGCTCAAGGCGAAGATTGCTTTTAGTTCTGTAACCTTGTCCTAAAATACATCTCTTTGTCGCTGGTACCATATCCACTTTATAAACTGATTTGACCTCTTTCTCAGACTTACTGTGAAGCCTCAAAGAGCCTCAACAGAGCTGCTGGTCCAAAGCCATATCTTTGCTGTTAGAACTTGATAGAACAGTAATAATGGGAAAACTGTACTCTGCCTCAAAGATTAGTTTTGGGAACTCAGTGTAAAATGAGGAGACAACGTGTGCTACACAGATGCACTGGTACCCTTTTTAAAGAATTGATTCTTGGAAATTATACATCAAAATAAAACCTGAATTTTGAAGTCAAGGAAGTTACACTTGAATTTTCTTGATTTCTCTGGAAGAGCTAATCCTTTTCAATGAATTTCTTTCTGAAAAGCTGAGCCAGAGCGGAAGGTTTAAAGCACTTGCATCTTTGGAGAATATGACTGGAAGTAAGGTTGGTTTTCATATGCTAGAGAAAAACCAAGTCTTTTTTCCTCCTGCAATTTTTCTTTGCTTACCTGTATATTAGAAGGTGGTTGGTTTTAAGGGCTTTAAAGAATGTGTTGGGGGAATAAAACCATCTTCACTGAGTCAGTTATGCAGTAGAAGTTGAGAGCTAATACTTGCTTTGTTTTGAATTGTGATAATATACTTAATATTCACTATGGTGATGTATAAAAGCTTTATTGATAAGCACATCACAAAACTCAGTTTTAGCAGATTTTCTTAAAGCTGCTATGTTTAAAGGATTTGTGTGTTCTCTTAAGTGTAAATAGGTCTGTGATCATCAGCTTGACAATATGAGGGTTTTTTGAAGCTAAATGCATAAATGCTGGCAGGATTTGGACTTCGGTTAATGTGTCAGATAATGCTAAAACTCGAATTCTGCCACAAACTTTGACTAGCCTTGTATTGTTTTAGAAGCACTACAATTGTTTACTAGTTTTTAGCTTTTCCTAATTTAAATGGAAATTATATTTAAGGATACAGTATTAACCTATCTGTGTTGACCTGTGCTGTACATCTTCTGTATACACATTTAAATTATTGCTGTTCAGGTAAATTTTCTTAAATGAGAAGATAAATTTTTGAGGCACTATACAGAGACCTGTAGGAATTGGGCAAGCTGGAGGTGGTATAAACTGGTTTTGGTTTGCTTTTACAACTAGTAGTTAATGCATACCTAATGAAGTTCAGCTTCAATTTAGAGACTGCAAAAATTGATTACTCTTCTCCACAGGAGACTCTCTACAGGAACTTCAATATAAATTGAATCTATAAATGTAACACTTTGTTAGATAATATTAGAGAAGCAAAATTTTTAAGGAAGAAAAGTTTTTACCTTGCTACAGTTTCTCTAGTAATTTTATTGCTCAATCTGAAATCCAGCCTTTTCTTACAGTAGCACATTTATTGCAACTTACTGTTTTGGAGGATTCCTCCAGAAGTCAGCACTGAGGTCTTCGTACCTTTTTGTAACCTGGTTATTTCATTGTTTCATCTCTTAACACAAAATAGACCAAAGAATCTGTATTCTGGCACTTCGGGAGGTCTGTCTGGATTAATTTCTACTGGCTGATCAAACACAAATGATTTTACTTCCTATCAGTGAGATGTACCCACAGACTAGTGCTGCAGTCTAGGAAAATAAATTTGTGATTGACTAGCGCTTGTGCCAAAAAGGAACATTGTTCCTCTCTTGAGCCAGGTTGGATCGTTGAATTTGACTGCAAGTGCAAGAGCTCAATGCAATGGCCCATTCCTTGCACCAGAGATTTACTCCTTTATACTGTTTTCAGGCCTACCTTTTTTAGGCAGGTGAACACGAGAAAACACCTTGTGGATGAGGAACGTAGTGTGTTCTAGTCTGATAGCTTCCATTAATCATGCTCCTTGGAACTGCAGAGGTGGTTCCAGATTCGTTCTTTGCCTGCAAACAGTGGGTTGTGGACACAGGACACAGGACAGAATTCCTCCTGGGGTTAGACAGCTGTGCGTTGATTTGATGATACCTACACAGCTCACTGCTGAGCACTGGCAGTTTCTTTGGCTTTACCACCGTGCATACGGTGCCTTCTGAGCCTTGGCAGGAGCCTGGAGTTCCCCCAGGAGTTGGCTTTGAGCAAGGTTTGGAACAGGCTGGGGAAGAAAATGTTGGCTTATGCAAATGCCTTCTTGTGGGCCAATGTGTCCTCCTGTCACAACAGCATGAGTAGAGCAAGCAGGAGGTAGTAGTTGCTGCTCAGCTGTAGTTATTACTTGGCCTTTTATCCCTGGTAGCCCTCTGTGGCTCACAAATTGATTTAGGTTTCCCCTAAGAAGGCCTGTTACGCCATTTCCAATGTTTCAGTGTGTGCCATGCAGCCTCCCAGCTCCTGTGTTCCTGGGTGCTGGTAGGAATGAGTTCTGGAAGCACGCTATGGAGTCTGCACTGATGGATCGTGTGAAGGTAATCGTACTTTCAGGTGTGCTTGTTGGGTTTCTTTCTGGATGCTATAAGCTCTAAAATAGTTAGGGAATACAGATGTATGTGAATTGCTGATGCAATTTGGGGATACATTGAAAAACTGGTTAAATAGCAGAAGAACTGCATTGTGTCTGGGAGCTGGAACTGAAGGCAGCTTAACTAACTCCTGAGGGACTGATGCTGCTCTGCAACGTTAACTGCACTGATAGAACTCCTGACTACAGAAGTGTTTTTGTATAGGCTGGCACGAGGTGTAAAGATGTGTTATTACTGAGGAAAAGAAGTTAACTTTTGTTACTAGCTACATATCTGGTTAAAAGTTGTGCTTGTGTTTTGACTTCCTCTAGAGCTAGTCTGGCATCTTCCTCTTCATTTGCTCCTCAGCCTTATATTTCGTCTTTTCTCAGTTTTTTCCTTCATATTCCAGGTGTTCAGTTGCCATGTCCCCCAGCTGCTGGCATTCCTCCTCTAATCACATTGCTCCTTCTTTCTCTCTGCATTTTTGTGCCTCTCAGAAACAACATAAACAACTATTAGTTGCTTACGTACTCTCTATTTTTTCATCAGTTTCAGATAAAAATAAAATACTGTTATAATATTGACATTTCAAGTATTTACTATTGTTTCACATGACTTTTTCTTAAATTGTAATTGGATTTTTTTAAGATTTGCTTGGCACTTAGGTTTTCAAGCCTTCCTCTGTGACCATTTGTTAGAAATAAATATCTTTTTTTAACTGCGTAGCTCCTGGGAGTTGGGTTTTCAGGGAAGAGATGTGATGAAAACATCAAGAAATGATCAGATGTAGCACAAACATTGTTATTGCTAGCATCTTGCACAGTTGCATCACAGCTAGGCTGTGGAATTTCTCTTTTTTTCCAGCCTGCGGGGACTGTGGCAGAGAGGACTGTTGTTACCATACCTGTTTAACAGAGGAGCAGCTGAGGTACCGTGAGTTTGGGACTTAGTGTCACGTCAATCTCAAGGCAGACACACAGGCTGTCTGTGTCTTTACCAGAAATCATCCATTCTGACGAATTATCTGCAACTAAAGTAAGCATTAGCCTTTCTATAGACCATCTGCTGCTCCACGTTCCTCTAACTGTTGCTTCTTCTGGAACTGCAGAAGCTTCCTGTGATAATCCTGCTGCTGCCAAATATGTTCTTGTGCTGTTTTCTCTAATTGTGACTTCTTTGCTGCCACCTCCTC